AGAAAATAAATAATAAATTATTGAAATAATATGAATAATAAGAATAGTATCTTTTTATAAGTTATATAAAAGATAGAAACAATGTAAATAACACTTATAATATAAATAGCATTTATAATAAAAATAATATAAATATTAACAATAACATTAATAATGAAAGCAAATAATTAATTAATAAAATAATATGAATAATAAGAATAATACACATTTGGAAAGTTGTAGGAATAATAGAAACGATAAAAATAACATTTGTGATATAAATTACATAAATATTATAATTAATATCAATAATATTAATAATATAAATATATAATGGATAAATTGAATAATATAAAAAGTATAAATAATATAAGTTAAAAAAAAATTTTTTATTTAATGAAAATAGAACAAATAATATTAAAATTATAAATAATATAAATAGTATATGTAAAAAAAATAATATTAATATTAAAAGTGATGTAAGTAATACAAATAATGTAAATACTACAAATAATATAAATAATTTATATTATATAAATAATTTTAATGGTATAAGTAATAGAAACAAAATGAATAATATAAATAATTTAAATAATATCAATAATATAAATAAAATAAAAGATATAAATAAAATGATTAAATTAATTTTTACTATTTAATAAATAATTATCGCAGAATATAAATTAAATACATTGCTTAAAATAATAAATAATACAAAACAATGTAAATAATTTAAATGTTATATATGTAATTAATATATAATATAAAAGATAAAAATAATAGATACGTATAATACGAAATTATTATGATGTACATAATAAATATAACAATACTCATAATGTTATTTATTAGAAATAATTATATTAAAATAACATGATAAATAAATTATAATTTATGTATTCAAAAATAAAAATAAATCTTTTGTATAAATTTGTATAGTTTTTCTTTTTAATAGAAATAATAACATAAAAATAAATATAATCAATTACTAATACATTTAATTATTAAATGAAAAATATGATTAAATACAAAATAATAAATTTATTTATAAAATTAAATACTTTTATTTATTTTTAGTTATTAAAAAGTTTTTAAATAAATAATTAAAAAATTAATAATAATAAATAATAATAAACATGTATATATTAAAATGAGATAATAATAAAATTATTAGAAACAAGTAATATTGTTGATATATGATAAAATATATAATAACAACTAAATAGAAAATATAAAAATATTATAATAATAATATATAAGATAATATTAAAATTTTTAGAAATAAATAATATGTTGATATACAATAAAATATATAATAAGAACTAAATATAAAATACAAAAATATTATAATAATAATATATAAGATAATAATAAAATTTTTAGAAATAAATAATACTGTTGATATATAATAAAATATATAATAAAAACACATTAGAAATAAATAGTACATAGAGTGTAATAAAATGTGTGATGTATATGTTTTATATGTACATTTGTGTAAAAAGAGATAGATATAAAGAGTAAAGAGTAAGAACATGAGTGGAATTTGTGTGATAGTGATTAAATGTGATTTGTCTTATATATTATAGTTAAAGTATAAACCTTAGCAAATTTGAATTGAGGTAAAGATTGAAGAAAACTTGGAGGCACTTATTATTTTTTGTTTTTACAATTTATAGCTTTTATTTAAGTAGATAAGTAGATAATTTTTGATGATAGTCAACAAGAGTATGAAAAATTCAGTAACAGTAAGGATTCAAAGAATGTAAGCAATTGGAAAGAGAAATAATTTTTAAAAAAATTATTAAAAAGTTAAGATCTTTAGTTTAAATACACTTAAAAATTTTTGAAATTATTTCTAAAATATTTTAATTGTATTTATTTATTATTTCTTTGTGGGTTAACACTAAATTTAATTTTTAAGTTAACTGAGAATAAAGATCTGGACTACTTGAATGTACGATTTTGAATGTAGTTATCAATTGGACAAAAAAGTTTAATTTAACATAAACTTTAATTTAATTTTAAAGGTTAGAAATACTTGCTTTTTTCATAAAGTTGAGACAATTAATATGGATATAATATCCTTTTAGGTCATATAAAAATGCATGTAGGTATATGAAAATACGGGGTAAGACACATAACTTCTGTATAACTCCTATTATGCAGCTGATTTTATATATGAAAATATTTTTTTAATTAAATAGTTAAAATGAATTCTATTATATTTGTTTTATATAAATGTCTATGAATTCATCAACAGGAAATAAAGAATTTTATGATATAATTTATACTTTCAATACTCTTGAAGTGGAAGAAAATTTCGAAATTGAACATTGAAATTTGTTTATTACATTTTAATATTATATTTCACTAAAAATATATTATAGTTTATAATTATTTTGCTTTATGAAAATTTGGTAGTAATTGATGGTACTACGTAAAATTAATTTAATTACTGTTACTGAGATAGAAATCATTCTGTGTTCATATTTGTTTTTATTAACTAATATTCTATACTTTAACTATAAGTTTTAGACAAATGTGTTTATGTGTTGTGATTAATTAAAGCCATACATATATTAAGCGCATTTAATTTTTTGTTCATTTTATATATATAAAAATATTAAGTTTATATTTATAAAGAATTATTTTTCATATCGAAAGCCTCTTCCCCATTCAAAAAAGAAATTAAAGCCAATTTAATTGTAAATTAAATTCCGCAAATTAATTGTGTTTTAGCATATTTATGTAACTACATTAATAATTAATTGATTAGAGATTATTTATTTCAATTTTTTATATATTGTTTAGTTGTTTTTTTTTGTTTTTCCTTTTATGTTTTTTGTTTTGTTAATAAATTATTTAAACGAATTAACCTGAAACCAATACAACTTAATTCGAAACCAAACTAACCGACCAACAAACAAAGCTCTAAGCTAAATATATTCAAAAGAAGCTGCTAATATATTTATTAAATATTTATTAAAATAGACAAAAAAAAAACAACGACAAATAAGCAAAGGATTTGTATATGCAAAATACCAATTTATATTTAAAATAATACTAAATACTCAAGGAACTGATTTATTAGTTCTGCGCAAATTTCTAAAGAGATTTTATCTTATTTTACTTTCGATTTTGCGCAGTTGCACTTCTATGGGAATGTTAATAAGTAATTAATGAATTTTTATAATTAAATTAAATTATATCTGAATTCTTTGTTTGTTGTTTTTTCATTTTTAATTTATTCCATATTGTTTTCAACATTCTTAGATTTATTTGTAACACATACCCATCTCTATTATTAGTTACTGTTGTTAAATGTTCATTTTTATTACATTATTTTAATTATTTTTCATTTTAATTTATTGAGTTTTGTTGTTCTATATTTTAATTTTTTAATTTATTAAAAATAAATCTTTTTTCTCTAGACAATTAAATTTGGTTTGTTTAATTTACTTTAATTTACTTATTAAATATGCTTTAATTCTTACCATCATCGTCCAGCCAGCGTTTAGCAATGTTTTTCAATTATTGTATCTTATTGTATCTTAAGCTTCTTGTGAATTATTTAATTTAATTTAATATATATTATTTAATATACTTTTAGATGATTTGATTTTAAGAATTTATGTCCTGTAGTTAAATTGCTTTATTGTGATTTTTATTTAAATTATTTTTGATGTTTATTTTTTCTGCAACTGGCTTCTTTGTATTTTTCTGTATTTTACAAACTTACTTACAGTATCTTCGGTTTTAACTTTCTACAGCTTTTATATACTTTTTGGCTTTTGGTATTGTTTTTGTTCTTGAAATTGTTGTTTTTGTGTAATTGTTCACTTCACTTGATCGTTTCGATCGACTTTATCACTTTCTTAATATATCTAAAGACATTTTATCAGAACTGTTTAACTGTTTAACTGTTTAGTCGTATCTTTTTGTTGTTTATAGTTTATAGTTCATTGTAGTTCAGTGTACTTTAGTATTTTGGGATTTAAAGTTTATCTTCTAAAATGTCGTAACATCACAACACTTCTTTCGGTTTTATAAGGATAAGGACTTTTTCTTATTAAATTCCACTTTTCCGTTTCCGTTTCCGTTTTCATTTTTATTTTTATATTCACATAATTTTATAATGAGTGTATTTTTGCTATTAATTAATTTGCTTTACTTTCATTTAATATTTTTTTTATTTATTTAACTGTCATCAGTGCATAAATAGTAGTTATGATTTCTTTTATTATATATATGTTTGTATTAAGCTGTAAGCCTTGAGTTTATTTCTCTTATTTTTAGCGCCCCAACTCCAAGTTTTTGTCATTTTCCTATTTCAAGTGGTCATGTGATTAATGTGGAAATTGTGTGTGTTTACGTGTTAAAAGTTTAAAAGAAAAATATGAGAATTTTTATTTCATTAATTATTTTGAAAGATATATAAATAGAAATTAAAAAAAAATAAAACAAAAATCGTGTTAAGATGTGCGTAAAGTTGTACAATTTTTTTTTTTCAAATAGCTTCTCATTACATCTTTTTTATATTTTTATTAAAATATTATTTATATATTTAAATCTTTTTGTTTTGATATGGCAGTTGGCTTTATGAGTAAAAATGTTTTATTAATTTTTTTTTAAACTTTCTTTACATTTTCTCAGAGCTTACTTTAATGCACATTTTTATTTTGATTTTTCAATAAATTATTTTTTTAAAAAAATACATGAAATTAATATTTGTTAAACATATTCGTACCTTTTACTCTTTACCTATAAGGATTGTAAATACATACATACATATATGCATTATTAAATGTATCTTACGTTTTATAACATAATTGGTTCTTCTTCTATACATTAAAACTACAATATATGATATTTGTTACTAACAACATTTAGCTAATTTCTTAGACTTTCCCGTTGAGCTCAAGTTTCAGCTTCGCCTTGTACAGTTTGTTGAATTTATGTTTAACTGAAAGAAAAGTTGCAGTTGTTCTGTTTTGTTGTTGTTTTTGTGTTGTTGTTGTTGTTGACTATATATAAATATACATATGAATATATATATAATTATACATGTGGCAGAAAATTATTTATTTAGTTCTCTTGTGCTTCTTGGAGGGGGGGGCGAGGCCTGCCTCAGACATCTGCCGACCTCGATGTTATACTCGGTGACCTCGAATGAATTACAACCTTATGGCCGTTTTTTGTTATGAATCCATCACTTTCAACTAAAACAGCTGTCTGTCGGCCATTACTACCGGCGCCAGCACTAACACAGCCAGGACTAAGTGGTCCACCATTGGCACCCTCTGGGCTATTTAAGCCACTCCCACTACCATTTTTTATTGATGTAGCACCATCAGCAGCAGCTTCACCACCAACGCCGCCACTACTGCTGCCATTATCACCACCACCTTGTGCAGCATTTATATCATCACCATCTGCATCACCTTGACCGCGCGTTTTATGTTTACGCCAAGCGTGCTGTATAAGACGTGCACAATATTCTTCACGTTGACGCCATAAAGTTGATGACACTGGTTCGTAACCTTCAGTGTCAGGACGTGCGGCAATTTCGCCAATTTCTCCAGTTTCTTCGATTGGATTACCTTTACGAGCGAAGAAGTCTTTGGTCAATGCATCCAATATATCAACACAATACATAAGATCACCGCGACATATTGGTATATCCATAGAAATGATTTTGTACTTATTCGGCTTGTGTATTTGCAGCGGTGGCTCCAATACGTCAAGAAATTCGGAGAGCTGATCATAACGTATATACTGTGTGCCTTCTGGATCAAATTGTTGCCAGATTTCGTAGTACATATCGTAATCGTCATCGGTTAGACCCTCCTGTACGTCCTCGGTGGCCTGACTATAGTTCTCGAGAATGACAGCAATGTACATATTAATAACTATTAAAAAGCTTATAACTAGGTATGAAAGAAGAAACGTAATTCCGACTGTCGCTGAACCACAATTGCCCGGATAGCCTTTGTCGTTGTCGGGTGGATCGCAATTTTCCTCATTGATAATGGCGTCTAAAACACCATCCCAACCGGCTGAGGTAGACATCTGTGTGTGTGTATGTGTATGCCGTGTGCAAATATAACATTTAACACAATGGACATACAAATTTAAGACACAGGAATGGGATGGCAGTTTGAAAAGAGTTTAGAAGAATTTTAAGTTAGTAATTTTTTTTTTAAATATTGTTTTGTTTTCTGATTTACACGGCAATAATGCAAACATTTAGTTGACTATCAAGCTAATTTACGAGTACTATTATTAAGTAAAATAATGGGCAGAAGTCGCTTTTGAGATTATATAGTGGGAGCTTGGATCTATATAACATTTTTAGTTAGTTTTTAGTTATGTGGGATGGAATTTAATTTTTAAAAGCATTAATATTGGATTGGAGTAAGAGCTTTTATGAGCTCTTTAGAGCAATAATTTACTGATAGAAAAGTTTTTTTATACAATCATCATTGTTCCATAATGGTCAAATAGTCCACAGTACTATGCCTTATTTTTTTGAAATTTCATTTCTAAATAAAATAATTAAGAATTTTTAGAGGGTCAATAATAAAATAGAAAATGGGTAAAGAAATATGAGAATGGTATTTAACCTATAAATTCTTTGCTACAATGTAATTGATTTTAAGTTAATTGCCTTGTGTATAAACCATAGATATTTTTTATAATATATTAGTACATGTTATACACTTCAAATGCGATTTACTTATATGCATCTATTTGTGCTTTATGATTAATAAAGTTATGAAATCTATTACAGAAAAAGTGTTAACAACAAGTAATTGCTGCATCTAGAAATTTTTGACTAACCAATATCTTATAATTTAGCCACCGAGCTTTGAACAAATGGGTGAGGAGTATGGACTATTCTTACAACTTTAAAAGTGCTTCTCACTGTCTGATCATTGGAATGTATTTTAGGCGAATATATTTCCAATTGTTAAGGTAATCTGTTAGGGAGATGAGCTGGATATACATTTAGACAGCCAAGCTGAAGTTGTGACTCTGTAGTCTGAGATGCTGTTACAAACTGTCGAAAGTCACAGGAAGATTTCTAAGCTGTGGAACACAGCCCATGTGTGGTTGAAAGAACAGTTCTAGGTAAATGCACAACAGCTGCACTTGTTCGACAAGAGTATTACCACTATAATTCTTACCAAGAACAATATAGTATGTACTTTCCTATTTTATAGAAAGTCAAAAAACTAGTAATAAGATGAAAGAACTGATGGTGGGAAAACATTTTTACCTACAAACAATCACATAATACATGGAAAAAAGTAAACGAGAAGAAGGCGAAGGATTTTAGTAATAATAAATTATATATTGTTAAACCTAAAGTATTAATATGACTCGGTTGTATAGAAAGATTTAAAAAATCTGTAAAATATTGTTTAGTTATTACTGCTTCAGTATTTATTAAAACAATACAATACAATAAATCTTTATAAAGTTTAAAATGAAGGAAATGTATTTATTTTCTATTTAGTAATTATGATAGGTCTTTGGTCCTCTACAACTTGGCGACGACTACCTCATACGAATGAACTACGAGCTGTAAGAGCTTTATCACGACATTGATGTAATTCAGCGAATTAACAACCAGCGGCTTCGTTGGCTTGGTTACGTCGTGAGTATGGATGAAGATACTCCAACATCAGAAAAAGATGTTTGAAGCAATTGTTGTAAAAAGATGGTATAGATGTCGATCTTGTCTCCGGTGGAGTGATAAAGTTGAGGGACACTAACCGAACTTGATATACGAGACTGGAGAAGGCTAGCACGCAGCAGAGGCGCATGGAAAGCCATGCTCTGTCAGGCCGAAACCCGGTAAAGGGTTGTTATGACCAAATAAGTAAAGTTAATGAGTAATTATAATAGAAAACTTTCTGTGTTTTATTGTGATCACAGTAATCAATGATGATCATAAAAAATATACTTAACTAAAACTCTTCTTCAACCCAATAAAAATCAAAATATCAACTACCAACGATAAAATTGCATATCAACCCGTTATTATTATATTAAAAAAAGTCTTATTTTAGAAAATTATAAGTCCTTTAATAATTATATGGCAGGTTCTTTGTGGATATTATTAGCAGCTATTAGGATAACTAATTGAGTACTAAACTATGGAAATAGTTTAAAGCCATAAATATTATTATCGTAACAGTTTTTGTGATTTATCAAGGCTTTCATTATTTAAAATTTAAGTAAATTAGTACGTTGTTAACTACGATAAGCAACTAGTACATTTGTAAAGCTATATACAATACAAACGTGAATATGTAGGGAGGATAAGCCAGGAGGATAAGCGCTTAAACGCTTAAAAGCAATATTATTTAAGCAATAATAAAAGCGTCTAGTTTTAGTTTTTAGCAGTAAGTTTAAGTTAGTAAGCACTGGTGACACATAAACGACCAGCTTGTATCTTAGGTTAATTGATATGATAAAAACATGAGATAGCAAAAAAATTTATTCTAAATGGGCTTGATGAGGAATTAAACATTGTTTTTGGTGATTGTTGAAAGAGCTGAATTAGATTTAGCAATTAAGCGCGCTAATGAGGTTTTGAAGGAATATATGACATAGAAATAATTTGAAAAGTTAGATTATTGATAGTACTCATGTAGTTTGAAATTGAACAAAAACAAAGGAAAAGCACAGAAAGCATTTCAAAATAAGAAAACAATGACGCCAAATGTTTTAAATAAAATATTAAATATTACTGAACGACAAGCATGAATAAAATGCATTGACACAAGTAAAGATATGCAAACATAAAACTAAATTAAATATGTAATTTATATATAAAGCGCAAAGACGTAAACAAATATCACATCATTTTTTTTAATAATTTAGAGCATAATTTAATTTAGAGTATAGAAGCTAGATAGTTATAGAGAGCAGTACATTTATTAATAGGTAGGCTTTCACATTTTGCGTACGTCTTTGTTTTGAAGCCGGAATTTATGAAAGTAAGAAATAAATAAAAATAAAATAAAAATATAGTACGAATATGTTAAGCATTTATAATGTTATTTAAACTATGAGTTAACGCACTAATTTAGCTTTTACCAACAACTACCGTAGCTTTAATCAACATTGTGATATTCCTTTTGGTTTATGTCAACGAGTTTATGAGTTAGTGAAACTTGTATGACATATTTTAGGAATATCACCCAACGACAACAACAATAGACAACATAAACCGTTTGTAAATTGTGGTATCTTACCTGAAACAGCAAAATCATACTCTGGCCAAATGTTTTAAAATTATAAACATCGTTGATGCCACTTTTCTCTTTAACATGCATGAAAAATGACATCCCGAATATGGCGAAGATAAACATGACGAGAAAGAGCAGCAGACAGATGTTGAATAAGGCAGGCAAGGACATGGCCAGCGCAAAGAGTAAAGTTCGTATACCCTTGGCACCTTTAACTAAACGCAGGACTCGACCCACTTTCGCAACACGTACCACACGCAGCAACGTCGGCGATACGAAGTATTTTTCAATGATGTCGCTTAATACAAGACCTGTAGGGATGAGATACATTTTCGAAAAAATGCACAAGAGAGTTAAAATTATAAAAGATAATCAAAATTATTTACATAACATTTTTAACTTTACGCTGTGTAGTTTACATAATACATATAATACATTTAAACTTAATAATTATAATAGTTAGGTTTGACACAATTACAATTTTCTGTATATACGATTTTACAACTATAATTAATTTATCATATTAATTCACATACAACAATCTATACAACAGAGACTGAATACTTATTGAAACAGTGACGGATTAGTAAGTCTTATAATAGTTAAAAAGCATAACTGTAAGTTTTTTAATTAAAATAAAATAAATAAAATTAAAAACATTTAACAATTTTAAAATATTTATACATGAAACAAAATTAAAATTTTCAAATCAGAAAACGTGATATTTTTAAATATAGCAATAGATTAAATATAAGATGAAAAAATACTCATTGGTATCTTAAGTAGGTAAAAGTCGATTGAACTTGTGGCGGTTGCTATGCAAAGAGATCATAAAGTCTCGAAATCAGAAGGTAACTGAAAATAATCTCTCATGGGACACAGAATATATTCGACCAAAGGACGTAGTTCGTCCCTTGTCCAACAGATAATTTTCTTTTTTGGTGCAGTGTTACTGCAAAGAGCATTATGTATGGAAGCCAACATAAGCTAATATTGATATATATCATAGATGTATCAATCATATCCTAGAATTGCTGTTGTATTACTTTCAGTTTAGAAACTATATTAAAATTACCACAGCTGTGTTTAAGGTGAGGAAAAACTTCTTTGAATACACTCCACAACTTCAGTTATTCTAACCAAGAACGTATTGGCAAAATGATTTGACTGCAATCTCACCCCCCTCCCCGCCCCCCCTTTTCCACTCTCTTCCTTGTAAGGTACTGATTTCATTATTTACTAGTTTAGAAAAATTTAGTTGTCCGATTGTTAAGCCTCCTTCACGGGCTACAGACAAAAATCTTTCTAATAATTTTCTTAGACTTGGTTCTACTGGATTCAAGTCACTCGCACTGTGACTTTCGATGTTTTCGAAGCTTTTTCAGATGAGGGAAACGTTTTAAATCTACTAAGCTGCTCAATGCTGCAGAGAGACTTTTTAGAAAACATCGAATTCAAAAGCATGTTTTCGATGCTTTTCAAAATGAGGAAAACGCTTCACATCTGTTGTGAAGCGCAACACAAAAGAAACTTTTTAAAGAACTTCTCTTTTAATTTTTATGCTTTGGAAGATGAAAGAGACGCTACTAAGAACATACTCTGCAAAGAGTGCTAACAGAGAAACTTTAAAGAAAACTTTATTTTTTTTTTTAATATTTTTTTTTTTAATAATTAATTATTTATTAATTAATTAAAATTAATTAATTTTTTTATCCTATAATTTTTAATCATTAATCATTTGAATTGGCTTGCGGTAGCGTGATAGGTCTTTATAGATCTATAACGAATATATAATTTAAATTATATTAAATAATTTTATATAACAAATATTTGAATGTGTTTAAAAACATCTTTAATATTTTTTTAGGCAAAGAGTTAGTTTGTAAGAGAATCTAACTTTTAATAAACTGTTAGAAATTGATAATGGTTTATTGGATAACATTAATATTAAGTTATCTATATATTAACCTTTTGCAATTGGCGTTTGATATATTTAAATTTAAATAAAAAAAATTTATAGTATATAAAGTTTATAACGTATATAAACAAAAAAAAAATTATAAAGTCTCTGCTTATGTACTGCTTTAAATAATTAAACTGTATACATAAATAGTATATTCTGATATTTAGTAAAAATATATATTTTCGCTAAAAAGCATAAAACATAAACAATACTTTTTAAAATTAATTATATAAAGCAAATATAAAAGCGAAAGTTTAACTGACTTTTCCGTCACTGCAATTTGCTAAGTTTATATAAATAATTAATTTGTATATAAATATTAATTAATATTAATTTAAATGAAAAATACATTTAACAGCAATTACGAAAAGCAAAAATTAAAATTTACAATAAACACTTTAACACACAAATATAAAAAAAATTATACAAGTTTTGTTTTTTAAGGAATATTTAAAGCTTTAACAATGGAAAAATACTAAGCTCGCCTTAAAGGATTTAATAGTTATAAGATACATAAAAATTTTTAATTATATGAATTTTACAATAAAACATTATACACACAAATTTTATGAAAATTACATTTAAAATTAAATTATGGCAAATATTAAAATAAGACAGTAAAATTGGATTTATAACAAAGCTAAGCCGGCTTTGTGCTGTAGCTGTAGAAATTGTTCAAACTTAACCCTCTTTAACCCTAGCGAAGCCCACTGAAGTAGGTTTCCACTGCTGCGCACACAAGCATATATGTAAGTTACTTAATTTATGTAAGTTTAAGCATTGAAGGGCTAAGCGTAAGCTGTTGTAATTTTTCTTAATTATTTGAACAATTTCTCTTATTTATTAAAGTATATTAATATTTTAATTTTATATGTATATATATTATGTATATAGGAAATAGCGTAGCATAACTATGCCTACATTTATGTACTGTTTTTATATGAATATTTTATATTTTGTAGAAAATAAAAAATCCATTTAAGCGATAATTCGCAGCATATGTTTAGTGCCAAATATCATCAACATCATCACCCTAAACACTCTTTAGTCCAAAATGCCAACTTTTTCGCTTCGGTCACAATTGTAACATTATAATTTGGATCGATTTCAATATAGTGTATATATACCTATATAGCATATATTATTTACGATAGATAATGTCTCAATTGTTTTGTTCATTGGCTCAAAATTTTTATGGTAACTACGAATGAAAATGAAACTACAAGTTTCGAATTCGTTTACGAAATAGTAAGAAAAACTACAAATGAACTTTATTTTAATTTATTAATTAAAAAAAAAATTTCTAAATAAAAGTTCAAAACTAATAAAATAAATCTATTTTTATTATTTTTGGCATTTCTCAAATTTAGTTCATTCATATGCTAAAAATTATGAATAACAATTATATTTGGAAGTAGGGTGATAATAAGTTGAAGGAACCAATAGAGTTTCGGCTCTAAAAACGAGTTAATGAAAAACTTTAAAAATTTAAATTAAATTTAATAAAAATTTTTTTTATATAAATAAAAGGCTTGCTTAAAGATTTTAGCTAAGCTAGCTTTAGTAAAGAAAATAAATATATAATTTAAAATTAATAACAAATATATATTTTTAAGTACGAGTATTTAAAACTTAAAACGTCGTTTGAAGCGGAGCTCGGGTAACTAAATTTTTTTAATCTCTTTTTTTTTGTTTTTTGATTTATTTAAAGAAATATCTAAAGTTTTAAATATAAAACAATAAATTTATTTATTTAAGTATTTTTATTAAATTTGCATGCAATAAAACAATCCAATTTTGCATTCAGTACCAATAGTCACTATTCATATTACTATTGGATGGGATATGTCATTACAAACGATATACAAACGATATTTTTGTTGCAATTTTTTAGTGATATTACTACGACGAATGTTCTTACGTTTTGACTATAATGCTTTGTAGGTGACTTCTAGGGTTGCAACTACGGCGCTTGATACACGTTCATAGTAAAGTACATAATATCCATCGGCAGAATGGACAAAAACCATTAAGAAGATTCGGCTAATGCCCCCGTATTAGCAGCACGACCCTTATTGGGAACGCAACTGTGATTGGCCTTGATGCAATTTTACAGCATCTGTATAAATATATCCGTCGTATAAAGTGAACACTTAGTGCGGCGTTTATATTTAACTTTAGCCGAATACCGGGCAAAAAGCGCACAGAGGTATGCAATAAGCATTATTGATATCTCTGAGTGAATCTGTTTTCATTTATATAATAATAATTTATTAAGTTTTTAATATTAATTTTTGTGTATATTTTTCCATGTATTCTTCATGGAAATTGTTGTTTTATTACTAATGTGCCAAGTTGTTTGTTTATTTCTTTTCGAAATCCGAGTTGTTTTCTTTATTTGTCAAAAAAATTTATTAAACGTTAAATGGCAGCGTGTATTAATATATATCGCATTATAGATATCACTTGATTTATTCTGTTCAGTGAATATAATCTTATCTAACACAAAGAGTAGTATGTCTCATATATTCAATCTAAATAGTATCCGAACTCACATTCAAAGAACGAAAAGCAATAAGCATTTAGTTTAGGGTTTGAACTGGTCGGAAGCTCAACTTCGAAGCTTAAAGATTTGCTAAGCTGAGTTAATGATTGTATATAAAATCTGAATTTTAGTAGAAATTTGCCATTAAATTGTATTTAGGAAAAAATAATAATAAAGCACAATTTTAGTTGGTTTAACGTTTAAAGCATTTGGAAGCAGCAAAATAAAAATTTTAGGTTTTAACATCTTTTCTTTTTTTTTTTTGTGAAAAACATTGAAGGCAGCGTATTTCGTAAAAATCGAAATATAGATTTTTACGTAATGAAAGCGAACTTAAAAATTTTATATATAAAAAACTAATAAAAAATAATCTTACTTTTATAAATCTTTTTTGTTTTTGTTTTTGTTACTATTCGCAATATTGAAGCCATTATAGAGCAGTAATTTTTTTTTTTTTTGAAACTATATTGAGCAGAAAATTAAAATTTAACATCTTTTTCATAGCGCGACGCTTCAAAGTATTATAAAAAAATTGCTTCCAGTATCAGATCCCACGCTGTAAGCTATGAAAAAGAAGCTTTCTGCTAGTGTTAATGTAGTAAAGCATATTTTAATCCATCTTTTGTATTATTTCTTGTACGATCGAAGCATTTTTATTTTGGGGTTTTTAATTTGAATATAAAACTGCTATTAATTTTTAATTATTTGAATTTAAGCGATTAAAAAATCGTTGGTTTCTTAACTGAATTGTGCTTATGTATATTCAGTTCAAAAAAAAAGTAGAAACTATAGGTTTTATTGAAAAATTTTATCACTGTTTAATGCAACACAATTTTACTAAAATTTTACTAAAATTGTGCCCTCAAATAGTCGATGGCTTATTTAGTTTCTAAATTTCACAAATCCTATAGTTACTACAGTCTTGCATTTAATATCAAAAAAGAAAAATATATCTCAGAACGTAAGCTTTGATTAATTTTTTTTGGTTTTTTTGTACACATAAATTTTAGACGAAAAGTTTCTGTATTAAAGAACTATTTTCCTATTTACTGATAATAGTATAGGGGATTAAAAAACCTAATAAGACCATCTTAAAATTTTTAAGATATTATAATAAGTGCATAATTATATTAAATATCTATAAAAAATGTTCATAATTCAGGTCGTTAATATTTTATATGAGTTCCTTTTACTGGATTTAGCGGCTTGTATTAATAGAATTACTTTTTAAAGAACTTGCTATAATTTTTAGAAGTATAAGATACATAATTATAATAATAAGACTATCGTTAAATTTTTAAAGTATTGGTCAAACTGCTGCCTTAGTTATGGTATACCTATAGTAGTAGCATAAATATCCCTGAGGATGACTATCGAAGATAATCGAAATATTGGAATATCATTTTAATTAAATATAGTTATTTTAAATATAAATATTAAATTATAGTACAAATTAAACCGGTTAAAAATTATTATTGTGCCATAAATATGTATATACATAATATCACATAAAATATTAATAATTTAATTTGTTACTATTTTAAATGGGTTTCTTATTATTGACTCTAAGTCAGTCTTGAAGAAGTAATTTTTTATAAAGTGGGTATGATTTTAAGAAGGAAAAAAAATAGTTATAATAAATACTTTATTTAAAAGTAAATATAGTAAATTCGTTTCGATTGATGGTAAAAGTGGTAATAGTATAATGAAGAAAATTTGAATTCATTTAAAATAAGTTAAGTTAAGATAAGTTAATTTCAGTTAAAAACAAGTTTGTACATTTTAAATAATTTTAAATCGATTAAAAAATTAAACATAAAAAAATACTGCTAATGAATTTCTAAAAATTTTGAAATATTATTATTAATTTTATATTAAATATTATATATAACCTAATTAAAAATTTCCTTTATACCTACAAGTACATTATTATTTTTTAAACAAAGTTTAATATACATTTGTATTTTGTGTAGTTATAAACAAATCAAAATTTTAGAAACAATAATATTATAAGCAAAAAGTTTTTTGAGATAAATCTTATTAACTTTTTTCAAAATAATATTTTACGAAATTATTGAATTTAAAAATTATACATAAAAATTTGTGTATAAATCTAGAATCATATTTTATTTAAATTTATATAAAACAAAATACTACATTCGAATTATATATTCTGTATTTCAGTATACCATATATTCTAATTAAAAATATAGTCTATCTAAGAATTTTGCTCCGATTCAGAAATCTTTAAAGATAACTGAGGCAGAAACAACGACTGCAGGAGGTTATACTTAACAAATTTCGAATTAGGGGCTTTCGGTAATCTCAAATTTCTACTACTTAAGCATGTGAGAAAATCAATTAAGAACACAAAACAAATTAACACAATCTAAGCAATCCTATGGAACCCTTAGCAGAATATAGAGTCGTTGTTACTCTGCAGATATATAAGACTGTTCAATTCTAATATTTAAGACCCAATTTTATAAGGAAGTAAAAACTAAAATAAAATTGCTAAATCAATTAATGCAAACTTATGTGAATCGCAGACATAGCCGTATCTTATTCTGACTAAAAACAATACTTTATATCGAGTTGTGCTTCAGAACTAGGCAAGTCACTGAAAATGAACCGGATATGTATGTGACTTGATGATAGTCCCCAAACCAGCAGAAACTCGATATTTTCGTACATGAATAGACAAGTAGCATAGAGAAGACTAGGTACTTAAAAATATTCTAGCTTTAATGGTTTGTGTTGGTTACAGCTGTAGGATGTCACAATATATGTGTATTTGTATGAACTTTATGACATAAAGATGATATCAAAACGATTAGTATTTCTTCGCTATCAGAAAATTATCGTAGTTGTAATTGTTCGAATTATAATAAATACTTTGTAAGGTAAGTTTAGGTTAAATTATGAGCAGTGATCTTGCATAAGAATCAAGTGAGATTGTACGGGACTCAAATGATGATCTCAACAGATGTAGTCATATTTTAAGATACAAAGGATAATTCTTTTACTCTCATAAAAATAAGTTTAAAGTTAAAATGTCCATTAAAATAAAAGTTTCCATAAGACATTAGTGAGAACGTTAATATAAAATTACCAAATTTACCAAAGAATAAGAAATATATATTGAAAATGAGAGTAATTACTAAGCATTAATTTTTTTTATGAGAATATTTCAGCTAAATATAATCAAAATATTGAGACTTGTACTCTAAATTGTTTCTTCATTTTAATAATATTACTTAAAACACTGTATAATCACCTATCAAAGTTAGGAATACAATCCAAATCAAACTGCATATACTGCAGTGAAGAGAATGAAACCGCATACTATATGCTAGGCGAATGACCGGCACTACTGAACAAACGGAAGAAACACCTAGGAGGGTATTTCATGGAATATAGAGATTTAAGGTTAGAAAAGATAGTTTTTATACTGTCTTTCATTAAAGAAATTGGACTTGGGGATGCACTTTAATCCGACTAAGGGACACAATAGATGTTTCAGGTCACAGTGTCCTATCCAATTTAGTAATAATACTAATAATAATTTAAATTTATTTAGCATTTTAAGACTGTACATGTATTGTTTCTAAATTTTAATTTAGATTAAAACAGAATTAAATTTTATTACAACAAATATAATAGTTCATATTATGAGAAAAAAATGCAGTAATTAATAAAATAGAAAAGAAAAAAATTAAAATTAATTAAGTATTTTAATTAGGAATTAATATAAAATTAAACATATCTAAAGCACTGACCTTATATAATGTAATAATTTATACTAAAATCTGTAAACTATTATAAAATTTTTTTACACATTTAGAATCAAACTAAATTCGAATTAAGTAATTAAGTAAAAATATGTATAAATTTATAAATTAAGTAAAATATTGAAAACAAATATCTTCTATTATGCTATATAAGTTTATTATGACTGATTTATTTGTAAACAAATGTAAGCAAAATATTTCTATAAGTATACGGTATATACGGCACCACTGAAGCGAGGTAATACATATCTCACTAGGGGTTTATGTTATAATACTTTACAACACACAGATTACTATTTACTTCTATTCATATATATAACATAAGCAATGGATTTAATGAATTTCTTACTGAAGGATAGAAGCTTCGCTAAAATATATGTGTACAAATAAAAAACATATTTATTTAAAGCAAATATTTGTATTAGACAAAATTGAATTTATACGCTATGTAAAGCATAAAAATATATATACAAATGATCATATATATATATATATAAAAGAATTTATTGAATATAATATTAAAAAATATATTAAATAAAAAAAATTAAGCACAACATAAATACAACATTAAATATTTTTATATAAATTTGTACTTTGAACAACAACAAATTTGGAGATATATATATAAAAAAAGAGAAATAAATATAAAAAAAAAGTTTTAAATTTAAAATTAAAATTAGGGATACTTAAGCACAACACTTAGTTTTAATTTTTACTATATATATTCAAATATGGTACTACTAAGCAACCATATATATATGTATATGTCAATTTGGGAATCAGCAATATAACTGTATATATTTACGGGTATATTGCTGCTAATATACGGACCACATAGATTAATAGGATAATAAATACAATATTTAAACAACGAATTAATTAACGAATTTTACACACAAATTACAAAACACTGAAGTATAGAAGAGTAGCAGTAGAAGAATTTTTAACGTTTTAGCTTTTACTTACCTAAGATGGATAAAATGACAACTACTACATCAAATAAATTCCATGGCTCCTTAAAATAGTGATATCGTAAAGCGAATATTTTTAATAGACATTCGGAACTGAAAATAACTACGAATATCGCATTGAGATAATCTAGGACAGCGTTATATGTGTCCGATGCATCATAACGATCGAGTGTCATTGTAAACATGTTTAAACCAATAAATAACATAATAATTATATCGAATTTTTTATCTGTAACTATTTCAAATACTATTGCTTGTGGTCGCCACTGTAAGAGAAAGTAAAAAGAGATAATGAGAGAAAGAGACAAAGAGACAGTGATAATAATAAAATGCTTTTCTCATTTTCTTTACAAATTTGTATAATAATTTTTATCATATTTTGATTATTATTATAATTTTTTTTTTCAGATTATATTTATATATTAATTTTTATATATTTTTATTATATTATTTATATATCAAATATTTTTTGATAGTTTGCAATAATTTTTTTTGTTAATCGCTTCGCTGTAATTGTTTTTATTTTCTTTTTTTTTTTGTTAAATTATATTAGTTAAGATATGTAATATTTATACATTCAGTGCATTATTGAGTTTATTATCTGTGCCAAAAGCGAACTTTCTTCCATATACTTATATACTGCCGGTATTTATACTTGCAAATTGCATACATAATGTATGCAGTGATATGTATATACTTTAATTAATTATATATATTTGAAAATCTATGTATTACATATTAATATTAAAAAAATTAATTAATATTTCAATAATCTCTGTGATTTATTTTCTAGTTAGATATTTTAGGCATATTTTTAGTATATAATATTTATTATATATTGATAAGACTTTAATAAAACTTATAAAAACTTTATTTTAAAATTGACATTTCCAAATTATAAATAAAATAGTTGGTGCTTAGTATTTATTGTTGTAGGTGCTAAAAACATGTCCGATGCATTATTGCATTTATTAAAATTAAAATTTATTTAAAATTCATGCTACATTCTCATGTCATATTCCAGTCTTTAAAATGTTCCTTTTAAATGGTTTTGTTTAAAATATTTTTTTATAAGTCAATTTGTACAAAATCAATAAAATATATTTTGAACTGTATTAATATGTAAGATATCTGATATCTTACAAAAAGGGTATCTCACAAGATGTTTTAGTAGGAGTTCGAATTAGCAATATAATATATGTCAACAATTTTATAGTTCACAGTCTTTAATTCTTTATATAAAATACATAAGAGTTTGTTGAAGACTTTAGTATTAAATAGAAAAAATTAAGTCTTAAAACTATAGTTTTTATACATTTTTTATAGTATACAAAAGTTTTACGGATTACATACTAACAATACTATAATCTACAGTACTGCACTATACTCTATTTTCGTTTCCAGGTCTTATTAAATTTATTTAGTAAACTGACTCGTAATCCTAATTTTGATAGGACAACATTAACAATCGATATAAATATTTGCTAAAGATATAAAGCCTATATATCAAGTTGGCTCTTTATATAGATTTAGGTTATGTTCCTGAAAATATTGGACAGATAACCTATTCGAGAGTTGTATACATTGTATATAGAATAATTGCAAATAAAACCTTACTGTTAGCTGTATAACCAAATAATGAGATTAAAGAAAAGGTAATAGATACTTCATATTTAACGAGAAAAGTTTAGTATACAATTAATGTTTTCAGATTTTAAAATTAAATTATTTATTAATAAAGAGATTTTTCGAACAGTAGTGAACTACAAAAACAAAAATTCATTTTTATTATTTTTATTATTTTAATAAATTGAAACTTTGGCTGACTATACAGCTTTTTTGAGTATTGCCAAATACCTTAGAAATAACTCTTGTATTTAGTTCTTCTTAAATAATTCTTTTGAGACTGCAAGTACCAGGAATCGAACTCGTGTTCTGCCAAAATTGAAGCTCAGAGTCAGTATTCCTTAATTAACTGACCCAATGCCGTACTTGAGTTTTATGTTCGCACATTTTTCTGGAGTATTGTTACTTTGGTACTTATTTATTAATTAAATTATTGTTATATGTCTAGTAACAAGAAATCTAGTTCAAATAAAAAATAGAATAATCCAAAAATTTGGCTTAAATTTAGATTCAGGTCAACAATGGTATTTTTTTTTGGACAGTAAATGTCTGGAATTTCAACTGTTGATTGGTTTGGTAATGATCATATTTTTCATTAAATTATAGTATTTTGAATATAGAGTTCAGAAAATCAATTATTTCTTTGTATATGACTATACGTATATGGGAATATTATTTATTAGTGCTGCGAAAAACTTTACTAATTTAAAAAATTTTTTTTTTATAAAAAATGGTATCAGAAGTTATATTTTTATGTTTAAAAATTGTTTATATATTTTAAAAAGTTAGTCAAATAACTAAATTTTATAAATTTCTCAATTTAAATATTTATTTTTTACTTTTTACTAGTTTAAGGGATTTAATTTTTATTGAATTAATTTATTTTTTTTTATAATAAATTTATTATTTAAGAATATATAAATTCGATACTATAGTTCATTTTCATTTTATGTTAATAAGTAAGGAAGTAATAAAAAACTATTGATATATTGTATATGTATATTGCATGCATTGTATTTTACATTATAGTAATATACTATATGTTATTTATAAATATATAAGAAAATTATGCCATAAAAAGATTGCAAGAAAAAATATGTTTGAAACATTCCAAGAAAATATTAAGGCAAGACAGTATAAAAAATTTTGCAATTTTGTAATTTTTGCACAAGTTTCGAAAATGGCAGACATAAAAATGTTTAAGGACAGACAACCATATCCAGAAGTTTTCCTTTACTTGCAATCAAGGGAACATTTAAATATTGAACATTGTGAAAGGTAGAACGATAGAACGATATAATGATTATATTTTACACATTGAAAACTGAATAGTCTCTATTTATGCCTAATATTGTGAAGTAAAGCAGTTCTGATCTGCCTTTTTGAAGGAAGTGCAAGATAGATAGATTTTAATTGCATTTGAGATACATTATTATATATAATGTATATCAAGCATATAACAAGTTTGTTTTTTAAAATCACTTGTGAATAATAAACACATTTAAATAATTTATAGATGTTTTCCTCATGAATGTTTCATGATTTTTACCCTATTCTAGTTTAATTATCCTCATCGGAAAAAAAATAAGGAATATTATGCTTAAAAAATTGAAAAAAGTATTAACAATTGGCACAGATTTTAGAGTTTTGTTAGTAGTTTTTTTTTTCTTTTTCTCATGTATATAAATTTATCACAATTTTTTTTTGGTTTTTTTTGTTAATTTATAAACGTTGTAATAGTTGGAAGCCTTACCCTCGGTCTAGGAATGGCTTTTAATGGTTTTTTAGAGCCCATCTTTTTCATAGCATTATAGTACTTTTTCTGATCTTCTGTCATGAACATTTCTAATGATCCACCTGCTTTTTTCTTTTGTTCATTAAAATTATCAATGATAACACCAATGAACAGATTGAGTGTGAAAAATGATCCAAATATAATGAAGAATACGAAATATAAATACATGTAGATATTCGTTTCACGTATCGGCTGCTTTCCAACCTATTTTGGTTGTGGTTTGGTTGTATTTCAATTCAAATCCATTCAAATTTCAGATCATATATATTATCAATAAGTGGGGTGTTTTGTTGTAGTCGTGGCATATTATTGTGTGTTTTTTTGTGTAATTTTCGATAATATTTTGATATTGTTTTTATTCATTTTTGAGTGATATATAGTTGTAGTAGTTTTTTTGTTGTTGTTATAATTATTTTTAGTTGTGTGTATTTTGTCATACATACGCAAACGTTTTACGTAGTTTAATAAAAATAGAAAGAGAAAAATTAGTAAAATATTAGTAAAAATATCTAATAATAAATTTAATTATATAATTTATTAAAAAAAAAATAAAAAAAAATCAAAATTTTTATATGGTACTTTACCTCACGCGAATCAATTGCATCATTCATTATTTGTATCCAGCCTTTGAAGGTGGCTACTTGGAAAAGGCACAGATACGCATTACCTACATGATCGAAGTTCATTGCTGAGTTCACCCATGTGTAGTTTTCACTCTCGCAGGCGTTTTTATTTGGTATGATTTCGTGACTTAGTTTGGTGCCATTTGCGTCTTCGCACTAATGTGCAAGGAATATTTATTTCGTAAAAAATATAAAAAATTAATAATAAATTATTTAAAGTTTTTTCCTTCTTATATTAATCATTGTGTATAAGTACATTCTAAACTATGTTATGTGAAAAAGCAAGAAATTAGCAGTTTTATTATTTCATTGCATTAGTTCTAAGTGAACTAAGATTTTACTAAATATTGCATTTATTTATGAGTATGTCCAAATTATTATTGTTGAGAACTCAATTTATTGAAATGTGTACTGAAATAAATTTTTTAAAATTATTTTTTCTAGATGAAATTGTTTTCATGATCACTTTTCTTTTAGATATTTTCATTTACTATTTTATTAATTTTAATTATAGATTACTAGTTTGGTTTTATTTAAAAATTTAAGAAAAAAGTGCGCCAAACTGTTCTATATGTGCAGTAATGCTAACCAATATAAGATCATTTCAAAATCAACAACATACTGAATATTGATGTTGTTATATGTATTATACTCCTAATTGATCTTTGTTATAAGTTATTTCTATAAAAATATCGAAATACCTCTCTATTGAAAACAATAGTTTATATTATTATATATCTTTTGACAAAAGGGACGTTAAACATCACTGTGATGTTTAAAAGATAAAAAAGATAAAATTTAGGAAAATATGTCCGACTCATGGCATTAGTCATGCTCAAGTGGGAGTGGTGGCCTTGTACACAAAGCCCACTACAGCTCATATAATAACCCGTGGGAAATGGTAAAAGCAATAGTTGTATAAGTAAAATATGTACTTTAAGTGAACCAATATTGACTAAAGGTAAATTTGATATTAGTTTATATATATTTAAAAAATTCTCTTTAAATAATTTTATTGTCTGACAGAATAATTCTACTATTACTAAAACATGTTTAGACCAGTGATGGCGTGTCTATCCGAGTATTAGGCTGCACCGTAAAAATTATAGCAGAAATTTTATTTGACAGCAATGACAAGCTATGGTGGACCAGCGGAACGATAATGTTAAACAAGGTATTAAATGATTTAATTAGTACTAGTAGCAGATTACCTCAAACGACATAAAGTTATAAAAACTCTGTCTTCACTAGTATAGCCATATAAAGAAACGATCCGTGAATCATATGATAGTGCAAGTGTTGATTACTAAAGATATAGAGAAAGTTCTAGGTAAACTATGAAAAACCAAAAACTATCATTAACTGTGACAAGCGATGCAGACGTATTAAAGAAAAGACAACCTATGACATTGTAAACTAGAGATACCGCACAAGGAGAACGGATATAGGACAAAAAAAAATATGAAAAAGAGTACAAATTCGAAATATATGTATAAGCATTCATTATAAAACCTAACAGCTTATTATTTAATTTATTCCTTTTTTTATTATATTGAAATATAATTTAAAAATAATAAGACAGAAACTAAATTTAGTGGGTTCAGTTGCTCTTGTTAAAATTTATTGTTTAATCGATAAGATATTTTATTAGTTCAAATTGATTACTTGATTTTAACATTTTTGGTAAAAAAAATTAATTATATTAATTATATTAAATATAAAACTCCACAGATAAGAGAATTTTTTAAAATTTTTTCTAGATAAAAATTTATTTAAAATTACTTTTGTTTATAAATTATATTTTTATACAAAGAGAGCAAAGGAGTCAGCATGACAAAATATTTTCAATCTTTTCTATATATATGACACAGGATATACTCACGATTTATTTATCGATCGATTTTGTTTAATCGGTATTATATAAGCTTTTAAACAAAGCTTCTCATTTAGAATAGAATAGAAATAAACAGAGTACCAGCTCCCAACGGAGCGGAGCACTGCGGCTATGGTTGATCTCTTGTGCTTAGGCTCTCATCTAATATAATAATTTTTTCTACAGAGTTTTTAATAACTCTGTAATATCATATCAAATTTTTTTCTCAGTTTATAATGTAAAAAGTTTGTTTATCAATTAAGAGCATAATGCATTTCGATTATTATTTTTAATTCCCTTAAAAAATGCTGATTAGAAAATTAACTAATATATATAGAATTATGATCGAATTTGGTGTATTTTAGTTGATATATTAAATTTTAATGAAGGTTAAAAGTTCGTCTAAATTATTGGAACCGAGTTTAACGTCTCAAACTCAACTATTTACGAAGCAAATAGACTGTAAAGATAGCTTATAGGATAGAAACATCTCGTTGTTGTATAATTCTAATAACAATTTTTTTGTTATAAATCAACTTCATGTTGTATATTGCAATTATAATTTAGTGTCGAATATTATTTTTGCTAATTATTTGCTGTTTAGTTTTTCTGTTCTGCATTTTAGGAACTCATTGATCAATCATAAAATAATCATTGAGTTTGTAATTTCAATGCTTTTTTGATTCAATTTCATAGTAAATTTTTTGTTTGGTTTTCGTTTTCTCTTAAGAATTTTGTGTGAACGTACCTTAAAATATTTTCCAGCAAAAAGCTGTACACCCATTATGGCAAAAATAAGCCAAAATATCAGACACACCAATAGCACATTAAAGATGGACGGTATAGCTTGAACCAGCGCATTTACGACGACCTGTGTAGCGCCGATTAGTTTTGATGTTTTGGTGATGGTGGATTGAGATGGCGGATTATTCAGGTGGTTGTGGGTGTTTGGTTTAATTTTGTGATGACGAATAATTTTGGCGATGATTTTCGTAATGGTGATTTAGTTTTATTTTTTTTTTGGTTTTTGAATATTTGTGTTAGTTTGGTTGGATTTGTTTATATTCAAGTAAAGGGAATATAAAAAATATAATACAATTAAATTTTGTTATATTTGTTTTATAATTAATTTACAATTACACAATACTTGAGTTATATACAATATATAGATATAATGACATGCTTGGTGTAGTGAAAGTTATTACTACTTAATCAAAATATTTGAAAAAAATGCAGTGAATGTGAGAATAAAAGCCATATTAA